GAGTGCAAGTCACTCACGAGACATGAATCTTGCAATTGAAAACTGATTTTTGAGCGTTCATAATTTTTCCTGACGGTAAGAGCTAGATAATAAAAATCGATCATTGGAAAACATTGGACCTTTTTGCCCCCTCCCCAGCTCATCGCACAGGAGTCACGTGCACTTCAAACCCTGGTGTGTACAATCCCATTAGTCATAGAGTAACATTTCACCAATATCTAGTTTTACGAGTAAAAGTAAAACCTCGAAAGAATGCATACAAATATATCACTCTTTTTACTGTACGTTCCTGAACTTTTGTTGACTAGTTTATATCACAGTACATCATTATGACAGGTATGCTTTTGTGAATAAAAAACGCTTCAGCTGATTTTTGAAAATGGAAATTGTTGGGGCAGATCTTATTTTATATGGGAGTTCGTTCCATACCTGGCGACCAAAGAACAAAAAGGAACGCTCGCCGTATGTTTTGTAATTTTGTTTTGGAGTTTTAAGAATTAGATTTTCAGAGGCTGATCTAAGGGCTCTAGGTGGATTATATATTTCCAGGAATGTTTTAAGATAAAAAAGGCGCACTATCATTTATACATTTAAAACAGAGAACGGCAGTTTTGTATTTGATCCTTTCTTTCATTGACAGCCACTGTAGTTCTTTCAGAATTGGTGTTACGAGCGCTGATTTGTTTTGTTTCATTATCAATTTTGCTCCTTGATTTTGGAGTACTTGTAACTTTGATAGTTTTTCGGATGTCAAACCGGACAAAATAACATTACAGTAATCTAACTTTGATAAAATGAGTGTTGTTACATGTGTCTTGGCTGCTGCTTTAGTTAAATAATTTCTTACACTGCCAATTTTCTTAAGCTGAAAGTAAATACTTTTGCTGAGCTGGCTTATTTGGGAGGACATAGACATATCATAATCCAACTGAACCCCTAGATTTTTAAGACTTCTTTTTGAACGAATGGTATGGTTATTAATATCAATTTGTAGCTCTGGGAGATTTTTAGTGGCTTTTGTATTTCCACTCAACATTATTTCCGTCTTGTCATCATTTAGTTTCAATTTATTGCTGGTCATCCATATTTTTAAATCTCTAGTGCATTGTTCAGTAGAGTCGACTAAAAGTGGTTGTCTGATCGAAATCAATAGACTTATAAATTTGAGTGTCATCAGCATAAAGATGGTAATTCATGCCATATTGTCTTAAAATATCAGCAATAGGTTGTGTATACATTGTAAACAAGACAGGTCCAAGAACAGACCTCTGAAGAACACCACATCTAAGCAAAACATTATTAGAACACGTGCTTCCAACCACAACTGCTTGTGTTCGATCCTTAAAATAGGACTCAAACCATCGCAGGACAGTACCTTTTATGCCAAAAGTAGTATTTAATCTCTCGAGTAAAATGTCGTGATCAGTGGTATCGAATGCAGCCGAAAGGTCCAAAAGAGTAAGAAGACATACCTTTTTTTTCATCAATATATTTTAAAATATCAGTACAGACCCTAAGTAACGCTGTCTCGGTACTATTGTGTGCCTTATATGCTGACTGATAGACTTCGCTAAGATTATTTGCTTTAATATGATGTAACAGTCTATTAGATACAATTTTTTCCAGAATTTTGGAAAGGAAAAAAAGATTTGAAACTGGCCTAAAATTTTTAAAGTCCTTTTCATCAAGTCCAGATTTTTTCAAAAGGGGTCTAATATGTGCTGTCTTAAAGCAATTTGGTACTGTGCCTGTGAGGAGAGAATCATTTACAATTTGGGTGATATGTGGAAGAAGTTCATGCAAACATTTTTTTAAAAGGCTGGTGGGCATGGGGTCTCAGGCGCAACTTTTTGATGGACTGTCTGATATGATCTTTTTGATTTCTTCTTCCGTTGCTGGAGTAAAATAATCGATGACTAGCCCTTTAAACTGATGGTAATTTGGGGCAATTGCGCACATTTTATCGAGCTCTTGCCTGATGGAGGTGATTTTTTAAAGAAAAAAAGTCTGAAAAACTACTACAAAGATCTCTGTCGGTGCCAGGGGGTAATATCGTTCTGTTTTGGTTGCCAAGCAGTTCACTAGAGACATCAAAAAGTTCCTTACAAGTTTTAACATTTTCAAATTTTGACTAAAAGAAAGTACGCTTGGCTTTGGTAATCATTTTACTAACAGAATTCTTCATAGTAATAAATATTCCCTTATGCACTTCAAGTCGTGTTTTTCTCCATTTTCTTTCCGCTTGCCTTTTTTCTTTTTTTGCAGCCTTTATTTCTAAATTAAACCACCTACCAACAGGTCGATGAGATAATTTTCGTTTTTGAACTGGGGCATGATCATCTAAAATATTCCTCATGATGGTATTGAGGGTTTCTATGTTAAAAGGGGAACTAATAGCAAGAGCATCACGAATGTCACATTGAAACTGGTGTAAATTTATATCGTTCAGATTCCGGGAATGAACTGTTTTTATTTCTTTCCTTGGTCTTTTGATGTTCAAGTCAACAATAAGAAGATAATGATCCGAAATGTCTTTGTCCAGAACGTCTATGCCTTTCACACAGATCTTTTCAATAGGAGAGATAACCCAGTCTAGGATGTGCTGACTTTTATGTGTTGGTACTTGTACGAGTTGTTTTAAATCATTTTCTGTCAGCAGGTTGCTTATTTTTTAGTGACAGGGTTTTCAGAGCCAAAGTGAAAATTAATATCGCCAGTTATAATGAATGGTGTACTTTTCATCTTCAGAGATGAAATTAAATTTAGAAATTCCTCTATAAAAACGGATGATTTGATATAATTTGCTTTACTCGGTGGTGGCCTGTATATGCAGCAGATGGTAATGCTTTGGGACTGCAGCTGGAAGGACATTAAAGCAGCCTCACATGAGTGACAGGGAATCTTTTTCACAGTAACTTGTGCTAAATTAGTTCTATAAATAAATGCTACTCCTCCTCCTCTACGCCCGACACGAGGGAAAGACTTAATTAAATAACCAACTGGACATATTGCTGATAAAATCGCACCGTCACCGTACTCCTGCAACCATGATTCTGTTATACATAAAATATCAAGGTTCATCTCAATAATTAAATCATTTAAATCGTCTGCTTTATTACGGCATGACCTGGTGTTGAGGCACGCTACTCTGACATTTTGTATTTCTTCTTGCAAAAAGTTTCGACAGTCGATTTTGACCAAATAGTTTTAAACATAGTCAAAAATGCGAACTTCCTAACCGACACGGCAAAGTCGCTTCAGGGCTCATTAACCCCGTGACCCCGAGCCGGGGAGCTCCGGCGGGCTGCTGAGTCACGCGAACTAAAAGTAACAGAATCGGGCGAAAAGTGACGCCGTGCCTTGAATGCGATTCAGGGGGAGGGGTCCGGTGGTTGAGTCCAATCCCACCCCATACCATAACGGAGCCTCCTCCATACCGGTCATGCTCCTGTACACAGTCGTCGTGGAAGCGCTCACCAGGACGCCTCTAAACACGGATCCTGCCATCGTTGAAGGACAATGTGAACCCTGACTCATCTGTGAAGAGTACAGTAGACCACTGCGGGCGTGACCACCTCAGGTGCTGGGCGGATTGTGTCAGTGGAACCCGGACTGTTGCTGGTCGTCTGGTGCGAAGACCAATCTCACGCAGCCGGTTTCTAATGGTCTGGTGGCTGATTCCAACGTTGCCTGGGGGTACCACCTGCTGTCTGATGTGACGGGAAGTGCAGGTCCGAGTTGCCGGGGCTGTTCTGGCGATCACCCAGCCCTCTCGTCGTGTGGTGCAGCGTGGCCGTCCGGACCACCTTCGCTCAACAGCAGTTCCAGTTGCAGAAACCCGGTCTGTCAGTCTGAAGATCACTGAGTGACTCACATCACGCCGTCTTGCCACTTCACGGACAGCAATCCCTTCGTGGAGCCAGGCTTGGACTCGTCCCATGTCGATGTTGCTCAGACGTCTTCTTGGAGGCATCGTTAAAATTGCTTAATGTGTCCGCAATAAATACCCCTAGCACCGTCAAACTCACTCAGGCATTAGTGTAGGAAGCGTGAATTCCCCTGAGTTGGTTTTTAACCAATACCACTCACTGAAAATCACATGAGTGATTGTCAAAAACAGGTTCAATTTTACAGAAAATTGGCACCCTTTCACCCCGTCTAGGCAGCGTAAATTAAACATGTGTCAAATCTGCTCATCATTGTAAACAACGGTGACCCTTCCTTACAATGACATCTACTCACTCGCCTAACTTCTCAATATTTGTTTTGCACACAGTTTGGAACAGTCTCAAACATACTATAGTGAAAACTGTAGTGGTCCCTGATTTGTTTTGAGTGTTTAATACGTTTGAAGACGGTCCTGTTTTCTTTCATGGAGGGGTAAAAGCTACCTTTATGGCACAATTTAATTTTTTTTTTAAATCCTTAAAAATCAAACATGCATGGTTTTCTAGGTCATGATAGCAGGAGACTACTTGCGAGGTCAGACATACATTTGCTGTCCGAATGCGAATCCCTGATACACTTCGGGGCAAATTTGATGAAGTAAAGCAGTGATCGATTTGTTGTAGCCTACACTGACCAGCGCTGCCCCTCTACTAATGTGTCAAACCATATAAAATTAAATAGGGGTTTGACGAAACTTTCGGAATTTGGAATTGGGTACTAAGTTATAACTTATACGTCAATGTTATCATCCAAAGTGTTATCTATTCATCAGAATGTCATCCCATGTCCTGTGCTTTTGTAATCTTTGCTTTCTTGGTAAAAGGCAAACGTAAGTCTAAAAATAAAAATAAAACTGAGATGATAACGATTCTTGTTGTTATCCATCCATCCATCCATCCATCCATCCATCCATCCATCCATCCATCCATCCATCCATCTATCTATCTATCTATCTATCTATCTATCTATCTATCTATCTATCTATCTATCTATCTATCTATCTATCTATCTATCATGAGTATGTTATCACTCCCACCCCCCTCCCCCCTCAGCCTGACACCACTATCCGAGTGATGGGCAAGCAGATGACGTCATCAAAGGCTGAGGAGAATGACGTGGATCAGCGGACCTGTCGCAGCGCGAAGACAAGTGTCAGCGGATCACATGATGGGGGCGCTGTTGCAGAACTCTCTGCTGTGGAGCAGGTACGTAATACTCGTAATAATGGCAATGTGGTGACATCAGACGTTCGCCAAAGTAATGATATTGAAGAAACAGGCATTTTCCCGCCAGATTGATCATTTCTTTATCCCCCCTCCCCCCAATCAAATTCTTTTGGTTCAACACCTTTTATGTCCATATAAAAATACATTTCCATGTGAATTTTACAGAAAACCGTAAAAAAATAAATTAAAGGCACACAATGTCATTTTTCAGTTTTTAAGGACTCTCAAGTCATTGAAGTTACCACTCACTCATCTAATACAGAGCTAGTGGCTCTTTCGAAACGTTTTTGATGGTTCGGCTCTGTTTCTGCTCAGGTGATGAGCATCAACCGGAAGTTGGTGGCTCAGATCGAGACGCTGCGGCTCAAGGTAGAGGTGGACGCCCGTCAGCACGAGAGGGTCAAGGCTGGACTGCTCAGCACCACACAGAACAAGGTCAAGGTTCGAGAGCTGGAGATTGAGAATCTAAAGACAACTATCGAAAAGAAGGAAGACACAGTCAAGGTAGGACGATGACTTCACTCGTGTTTTATTTTGTTTGTGTGTTTTTTTGTTTTGTTCGATGTATTCTGAGTTCTGTTACCCGTATACTGTCTTTTTGTTATTAAAGTTGTGTTTTGTTTACTTTTTGTTATTAATTATGCGTTTTAATCTCAAAGTATTGCATTTTTTTGTGTTATGTTCAGTGTTTCAATAATATGACAATGTGTGTGTTTTGTGTTGTTTTGTGTGTTCTCATGATGTGAATAGCGAAATGTGTTCTATTCTATGCGATGTGGTGTGTGTTCTTGGTGGGCTTGACGAATTGTGACTTACGTGATGTGTTGTTTGTTCTAAAATAGCATTAGCAAATTGTGTGCTGTGTGAAATGTTGTGTGCCGTATGATTGGGGAATTGTGTTCTACATACTGTGTTGTGCGTTCTGTGATAAACTAATTGTGTTCTTTGAGTCATGTTTTGTTTCTTGTGTTCAGGAGATCACAATAGATTTGTGTTAATAAATTATTGGTCTGCTTCAGGCCTCCATTTTAAACTTTCTTGGCCTATAGGGTCTCCATACTCAATGGGGCCAACAAGCGGGGTAGCTTTTATGTCTTGAGCGAAAGACGATTTTAATTCTATTTCTAAAAAATGGGAGGTGTGTGTATAGAGTGTGTGTATATATATGTGGGGCGTGCTGACAAAATGAATTACTTCTCACAATCCACAAAATATGCAGATATTGGCCAAAATCGACACGAGGGACACATTTCGAGTTTTTCTATTGGTGCAATATTTCATTAAGTACTAAATGCCTCTTGTTATTTCATACTGTAAAAACTTTGCCT